GGCTTTGTCTCCTCTGGCTCCGCGCCCCCCGGGCAGCCGCGCTGGGGGCCTGCCGAGGTGGGTGCTCGGAGGGCCGGCGCTCGGCCCCCCAGGGCTGGGCGTCTCTGGAGCCCTTCTGCCGTGTCGCGAGGGGCTGGGGGGAGGCAGCGTAGGGTAGTAAAAGAGCTTCCACTCTGAAGTGCTGATGTTAAAGGCGGTATCGGAAACTCTTTGCTCTTCCCTTTGCTTCCTTTCTATCCTCTTCCAGTTTAAATGAAGGCAGCGCATGGAGTGAAAAAACGTACTGGCAGCGTGATTAAGGCAGACCTTGTGCTGCGCGATCTTGCGTTGAAAACCAAAAGGTTAAAAAGACGAATATTTTTGCACCGGAGTTTGTTGCCGTGTTAGGTAATCTAAAAAAACCTGAATGAGTAGGAAAAAGATTGCGATACTGACATCTGAAAAAAAAAAGGGGATATTTTTTGTGTTTTATCATTGACCAGAAATTACTGTTTCAAAGAAGCGAATCTCTTGGCGGTTCAGTGAACTTCAGCTGCTGAAAGTCTGGAGGATGTTTGGCACTTCAGATGATCAGTATTTTTGATGTTAAGATTTTGAACTTCCAGTTATATGGTGGGCTTGAGTGGTGGAAGTGTGTAGGTTGGGATATGATTACCACGTTTAGAGAAACAGAACAAAATGGAAAATCAAAGCAATTAACTTTGCAGACACTCAGTTTACGCTATGTTTTCATATGATTTAGGCTTCTTTTTAAAGAAGCCAGTTTGGATGCTCTGTTGAAGTGCAGAGTGCATGTGTATGTTCAGCAGGTTGTGTGGTGCTTGTTTTAACAAGTTGATATAGACACAAACTGAAATTGATTTCCATTATGCCATAATTATTCTCCTAAATCCTTCTCTTAAGAGGGTCTTTTCCATTGTCCATCTCCACAAGATACGTTGTGGTCTATCTAAAAGCTTTGATGATGCCACTAGAAGTTTTCAGGTGGAAAGTGCTTTTGCATGTATAAACATTGGAATAGTACTTTATTATTTATTAATCCATAGGATTAAAAAACATTAAGTATTTATTCAGAAGTGCTGAACTCTGAACTAGCTACTGCTTTTCATGAAAGCGTCTTGGTGATAGAGTTCTGTGAAAGTGGCAGCTCAGTACTTGGCAGTCAAAAAGTGAATAATACTAGAATTAACAATTAATTGAGAAGAAAACGGCATCAATATGCCACTGCATAAATCCGTTCTGGGGCCATATGCTTACTAAACTACTAAATGCAGTTTGTGTAGTTTGCCTTTATCTCTCTCCTACCTCAAAAAGATTGTATTAGGCTAAGAGAAAGGTAGAACGAAAATTGTCTAGGGCTTTTCACCCAGGGAAAGAGATACCAGTGGAGGGATAAGAGACATTATGAAACTTAGGAGTCATGAAGAAAGTAGACAGGTTGGGTTTGGGGTTTTTTTTGTTTCCCCTTTTTTTGAAAGATTACTGTATCCTGCAGATTCATAACAAGTAAGATGCTCCATTACACCATGTGTAACTAAAAGACCTGGTGCAGCAGCATATTGGGAATGCCAAAAGTTTACAAGGAAGTTGAAACAATTAATTTGTAGGGAAAATCATCAGAGACTGTCAAACACAGGAGTATCTCCTCAGACTCGGCAAATATCAAGGTGACCGGTCAGCGGAAGGTATTCCTGCTTGCCCTGCTATTATACTCCCATGTCCTCCATTGGTTACTGGTAGAGGGAAGCCAACAACCTAGAAAGGTATTTTGCCTGACATAATATTACACTAACGTTTTTATAGAAAGTACACTTTTTTTTGAGAAATACCTTGATCTTCTGTAGCCTACGAGAAAAAAAGTAGAACCTGCAGTTCAGAAAAACTGTTCTCATGGGTTTTGTGTACTCCGTAGATGTTTCTTATTTCCCACATCAAAAATTTGTAAAGTACTTTTCCTGTTTTTCAGAAAAGTTAATGGATAGCACAAAGGTGCTTTAGCACCACTGATTGGAGTCTCACTACTTCACCCATGTTCACTTTCCGTGTGAACTAAGTGTGCATTGATCTGTAATGGAATGCAAATTACCAGCAAAACCAAATACAAAAACGTGTAACCTTCTTAGAAGAGCAAGGAGCCATTTAGTAAAATGGATGTGGTGAACTTGGAGTTGAAATACTCTGATTTCTCTTTGGATAAGCTCTAGAATATAAGTGAGAGCAAGAGTTCAGGAAGATTTTGAAAAGGATTGTATGCTTTAGGGATGACAAGCATTATAATAAGTGCTAAGACTACAGACGGGAGTTTTATTTCAGGGCATAATCTAGTCTATCAGGCTGCAGGTAGAACATCAAAACATTCTTTGAGATGGGTTGTTCCATTATTCTGTAATCCTCTGTGAGGAAATCCTGTTTTCTTTTCCTCTCATGTAGGTGGTACAAACTAGGGAGTATACTGAGCTTAATAGATTGTTGGCAGAACAGTGAGATAGTTCCTATGTCCTAATGCCCCTCTGTGTAACCACTGACCATCTGTATCCCATCACCTTCATATGTTCAACAGTAATTTCTTCAGACTGATAGAGCAGAAGTTTGATGGTTTTTTTTTAATTTTTTTTTTTTTCAGGAAGTGGGTCCCTTTAAAGAAAGTAAAAGTATAATTATGGTATTGTATAGAACAGGAGCATCTATATAATTGTGTGCAATATGTTTTTAGAACCCTGAAGGCTAAGAGTGATTGGAGTAGAGGAGAGAGCATGATTTTTATTTACACCATCCAGACATCTGTCTTCATCCTTTAGCCTTTCATGACTTCCATATGTATTGTGATAAACCAGAAGAGAAGAAACTTGATATATAGTAAAAACTAAAAGTTCATTTTTTAGCTGAAGTTACTGCGGTCTTTGGTTGGGATTTCAACGTTCAGTGTTCAAACTGTGTTGATCGTTTGGGGTGGTGGCAGATGTAGGAATGTAACTAAAATAATCATTCTGAAGTACTTAATCTACAGGACAAAGCAGTGCCCGCTTTAATGTATACCATGATACTATATTGGGTGAACTCTTGGTTTTGGTAGTTCTTGCATGCCTTACCTAGTAATGTCATAATTTTTCAAGTTTGAATGTGGAGCGGTGTATCTCCAATTCCCTTGTTATTTCTGCCCTATATTGCAGACTGCATTAGTTAAGTAAATTTTCCCTGACATTTGTCACCTTCAAATATGTGCACCTTTTGGAGTTATGAAGCAGAGAACTGGAACTAGTATCAAGGAAATTTACTTGCATTGTTGCACAGCCAGAGGTGTTGAAGTGGCCTTCCCTGGTGGGAAAAGAAGGGAGAGCAGTATTCTCCAACTTCTCCTTGCATAAATACTCCTGAATCCAAGAGACTTTAGTACCACTTGTCATGGCTTTTACTTCAGGGCAACACACTTGTGAATCTGTGATCCTCGTTTTGATTGGCACAGTTCTCTCTTGACCCTTGCTAATATATGACAGTATTGTAGAAAAGCTTGTTTTGCTCTGCTTTTTTTCTCTTTATGCCTGTGTCTCAGTACTTATGCTATGTAAGCTGGCATGATTGGCTTCTGCCCATGTTTTGCATTTTCTGTTACACTTCATAAAGGATTAGTTCCTTTGGGTTTGCCGAGTAAGTGCGTTTATATCTGAGATGCAGCAGGGTGGCTGCTGACTTAAGGGATTGGTTGCTGAAAACAGAGGTGGTCAGGTTGGGACTATTGTAGCTGGCATTGGGATTTTTTTGTTTGTTTTAAATTGCTCATAAATATCCTTGTGTTTTTTCATTTGTACCCCCCCCCCCCAAACAACCCCTTTACTGTTAATTATTAAAACCTGGTTTCCAGTGCCTGTCTCCTCCTTTGGAATCTGATTCCTGATAAATTGTCAAGCCATGTAGCAGCCTTTTCCTCAGCAGAGATGAGAGTAAGTAGCTGGGTAGCAGTAAAAAAAAAAAATCAGTCTCCTTGAAAACTTAAGAATTTAGGATGTTTTTAAAAAAAAAAAATTATTTTTGAAAACTAGTTTGAAGTTTTAGACATGCCTACTTACTGATAGCGTAGATTTCTTTTCCTTCGGAGGTGAGGCAAATACAGCTTGCTTTTTAAAGTTAATTTGTTTGACTCCATTGAGATGATTTGGCTATGCAAGCATGTCTGGGCTGGCTAACTTTGTAATTCATGTTTCTCTTTTGTTTGCAAAGTCTGCTTTGTTTCTGATCTAGATCAAGTTTCTTACAGCTTTCTTGCAACTGTTACTGGCTTTTTATGATGACTGGCTCTATATTTTCTTGTTCAAGAAGAAATGAACAAGGCTTACCTACCTAAAGGTGAAGTTGCTTCGTAGTTGATAGTAAAAACTTGTAGAGGTGATCTAGTGGTTAGGACGTTGTCTAGGATTCAGAAGACCTAACTTCTCTCACTGACTCTGAGGTTTGGCAAGTTAACTTGCAGGTATCTCTCTTTTCACCCCCTCCTTTGAGTTTAACTTTCAAGTGCTTAAATCAAAAATGGTTTTTAGATGTTTATATTCTGCCTTTGTACATTAAGACATTTAATGTATTTAATGTATTTAAGCTGACATTAATTGTGACTTTATGAATTCATAGTGTTCATTGATTATATTTGATCATCTTTAATCAGGATATTAGTGCCTGGGATCAATCTCAAGTAAGACTTTCAGTTCCTCACTTAAGCTTTGTTATTTCTGAGCACACAAACCTGTCTGCCTTGCTACCTCCGTGGTCAATGGCTAGTAGGTTTTCATATTTGGAAGTGGACATAAAATGAAAGAAAGTGCTTACAGTACAATTAAAAGCTTTGACCTCTCATTTTTTTCAGCGACCCTTTTGCTATCTTTCCACTAAAGTTAAATGCCTACATTGTCAATTTG